GTGAGTCAAAACGTTTGTAGACCCCTGGTTTAGCCCCTCAAATGTCCTCTTTAGATGGTTTTAACAATGACAAACTCTACTTTTGTTTTATGTGAAGTTTGTCTAGTTTATACTGAAGTACTTGTTAAATACTTAAATTAAATATTTTTTTAAGGTATCGCTATCTATTCAACAGAAAAAAACATGACTTATTAAAAATACCCAAAGCTTTAAATTTTCTAATTTTCTGAGGAAAATCGGACCATTGTTTATATAAACTTTTTGTAGCTTTTCAGGTATTATATCACTCCTATAAATACTTTCCTCTACTTACGGGACTCGAGGAATTGCCGTATGTCAATATTATTGAAATATCGATATTTTGTTTCCGATATTGGATATTTTACCTTCTATTGTATCTATTCCGGTATTATCGACTATGGATATTGTCCCTTAATTTGAAAAAAATAAAACTATCGTTTTCGAACGCGCTAGGAATTATATACTCATCTTACCTGTTTCATGTAGAATGTAGAGCAAAATATCGATATTTCGGACTAAAAATAGCTATCCCTAAGTAGAGTTGTACAGTGCGCGTGGGACCCTTCTCGCACAGTAAACTCAATTTGCCCAAATTTGTTTGTTAGAATGTTCTCAAACCAAGGCCACGAATGTCAAAGAAATCTATATAGGTTGGAAATAAATTAGCAAAATCTGATCTATGGGTGAATGGAAGGCATAATTGGTTGAATGGAAATTTATGGGGAAAAAACTGAGGATGACGAAGATGGAGAGGAACTAGAAAATTAATTCTGCAGAAACCCAATTATTGGTCAAAAGGAGGATGTTGCTCTAGATGATACATTTTAGAACATGAATTAGAAATTTGACGATGGAGCACATTATTATTATTATTAAATTTAAGCTTCGCATCCACAAGAGTATTGGGATTGCAGTTCTGAAGATGGGAATAAATGTCCCGAATCGTCAACTAACCTGTTAACATGTAACGTTGATAGTAAAATATACTGAATTGTTAACATCTGGAAGTTATTATTGCCAAAAAACTAAAATAAATAGACAACTTCCCAGAAAAAAAGAAAATTTATTTTATTGTACAATATATTGACCATTATTTAATATGAATTTTTCCCATATTTCCACTAACTGATAATGCCATGCTCATAGAATTCCTGGAGTTTATTGTTAAAAAATTGATCCAAGCGGTTGTTGATGCCCTATTCCTTTTGGAATTTCTTTCCATTCATGGAGTTCTGCAAAGATCGGAATAAGTGGTAGTCACTTGGAGCTAGGTCAGGCGAATATGGAGGGTGGGGCAAAAAATCCCATCCAAGGCTCAATAATTTATTGCGAGTGACCAATGAGGTGTGAGGCCTAGCGTAGTCTTAGTGGAACACTACACCCTTCCGTTCATTCATAACTCTTCAGGATGTTTTCCAAATTCGATGTTACTATAGCCGTTGGAAAGCTGAATTATTGCTCTTTAAAGCCGTATGAATGTTTTTTTTATTTATTTAATGCCTATAAGGAATAAATAAACAAAAACTCCTTATAGTTTTTTTTTTTTTTAAACCCATTTGTAGTTTGTTTACGAAAATCCTGTTGATGTCTTTTTGTGTAATTTTTATGGCCCTAAATTCCTGCTAAATTTCTTGTAGATATCTAAAGTCGTATTGAAGTTATAAATTTTTTTGTGATTTTCGAAAAAAGCAATCATGTGAGAGATCTAAACATTAAGCCTGGAAACATAGCCGAGCTTGTGAAAATGGTTTTCTACTTTTGTGTGAGACACATTTAGGGCCATACCAATCTCTCGCACTGATTGGGAGGGATTTTGATCAACAATGGCCTTAACATTGCCCTTTTCAATTTCATGTGGGCGAACGGACGGTTGAGCACCATTGATGTTAAAATTTCCTAAATGTAATTTGGCAAACCAATTTTGACAGGTGCGCTCGGTATAGGCATCATTGCCATAAACATCGGAAATTTTTCTAAGAGTTTCTGCAGTATACTTACCTTTTTTAAAATAATAAAACAAAATATGCCGATATTGAATGATGAAGAGAAGAATAGTTGGGGTGATCAGTCAAATGAGAAGGCAAAAATAAATTATACGATTTATTTTGACATTAGCCGACGTTTCGACCTGAAGTTCAGGCCATCATCAGGGCTGACTGTGGAGACGTAAATCTAAGCAATCTATGGGTGAATGGAATGGGTGGCTGCTTAGATTTACGTCTCCGCAGTCAGCCCTGATGGCCTGAACTTAACATTCCACCTTAGGGATTAATTCATATGATAAGAAGTGTATCATAGACATAAAAATAAACAGAAAAACCGAATGGACTATTTGTCAACCCAATATATTGATATAGATATTTCAAAAAATGTTTATAATATCGATGAACATATCAACTATCGATATTCCAAGTCCGATATTTTGACGGTATCGATTGTTAATAACGATGACACATCAATTTTGGGCCTTCGAAAGGAAAATTTTTAAAGAAGTGAAGCAGAACCCGAGAGCTACAAAAATGTTCATATAAACAATTGGCCAATTTTTAGCAGAAAAATTGAAAAACCTTTTTTTTTTTTTTATCATGTTTTATGTTGAATTGGAAGTGATAACTGAAGAAGTATTTAATTCAAGTAATTAACAATTGCTTCACTGTAAACTACACATTTACATTAAATGAAAATAGAGTTTGTCATTGTTAAAACAAAGAGGACTTTGAATCGGCTAAACTAAGCAAAGTTAAGTTTTTTAAAAAAATGATAAATTATTCGCGACTTCTTTTATCATCATCCAACTATACTACAGATACTCCACTTTTAGAAAAACTCCCGTGTTTAATGAGCTATAAGTCTATATTAATTAAGTTGTGGATTATTAGGGAAAAACTTAACATTCACCTCAAGTTATGTTAAAAAATTATGTGAATTTATATCCTGCCAACTTAAAGTACCCGTGTTTTCTGCAAAAATGGCTACAATTAACTGTTGAAAAGCTTCTATTTCTTGTTATTCCGTGGTGTGGAGAATATTATAATAAAAATAATTTCCTAAATACACTTATTATTTATAAACAAAATTAAAAATAATAATTTTAATTCCTTTAACCATAATAATTGTAATTAACAACTCCTTTACTGTAAACTAGACAAAATTTACTTTAAATGAAAATGGAGTTTGTCATTGTTAAAACCATCCAAAAGGAATTTTGAGCGGCTTAACTAAGCTAAGCTCTGTTTTTAAAAAAATGTAAATAATTCTCGATTTTTTTTTTATCATCATTCAACTATACTAAAAAGTCTCCACTTTTAGAAAAACTTCCACGTATAATAATCTTTAAGTCCATATTAATAAAGTTGAGGTTTATTAGGTAAAAACTTGATATATGTCTCAGTATGTGTAAAAAAATAATGTGATTTTCTATCTTGTTACCTAAACAACCCGTGCTGCAATTACAAAAATTACTACAATTTACTGTTGCAAAGCTTTTATTTATTGTTTTTCCATGATCTAGGGTCTATTGTTACAAAAATTATTGATTTTTCAAAAATGTTTCATGTAAAGTGGTTATGAAACTGTTTTTCACCCAGATCTCAATTATAAGAATTAATCCATATTTATAAGTGACAAACTTGATGTTTTTGATCCTTATATTTACGTTTTCATAAAAATAATTGAAGAAATTAGGAGGTTTCTTTATTTTAAACGTAAACGTTAGGACTAAACAATTTTTTTTTTTTAGCCCTATAAATTTTAGAAATTGTCTTGTATCGGTTTCACCGTTTCACCGAAATATGTATATATGATATAATTGTAATTGTATGTATTACTATATTATAGTATTGATATTGTTTGTGCTGTATAATATGAAAAAGAATTTGTATATAATTTGTATGTCAAAAAAAAAAAAGGATTGATGAGTATGCTGTGAGTATCGAGCAACCCTATATAGTAGGGCAGCACTGCTTTAAATAAAGTATTTCTCTCTCTCTCTTGTCATTTATAAATTTTAGTCAATCCCTTTGACAGAGATTTTGGAGAAAAACACAATTTCATAACCACTTTAGGTGAAAACTTATTAATATTAATTTTGTTTATAAATAATAAATGTATTTAAGGCAATTATTTTTATTATAAAAATCTTCAGACCATGGAATAACAAGAAATAGAAATTTTCAACAGTTAATTATAGCCATTTTTGCAGAAAACACGGGTACTTTAAGTTGGCAGGATATAAATTCACATAATTTTTTAACATAACTTGAGGTGAATCTTAAGTTTTTCCCTAATAATCCACAACTTAATTAATATAGACTTATAGCTCATTAAACATGGGAGTTTTTCTAAAAGTGGAGTATCTATAGTATAGTTGGATGATGATAAAAAAAGTCGCGAATAATTTATCATTTTTTAAAAAACTGAACTTTGCTTAGTTTAGCCACTCCAAAGTCCTCTTTGTTTTAACAATGACAAACTCTATTTTCATTTAATGTAAATATGTAGTTTGCAGTGAAGCAATTGTTAATTACTTGAATTAAACATTCCTTCCGTTATCACTTCCTATTCAACATAAAACACGATTAAAAAAAAAACTCGTTTTTTCAACTTTTCTGCTGAAAATTGGCCAATTGTTTATACGGACTTTTTTTGTAGCTCTTGAGTTCTGCTAACACTCGTATAAAAATTTCCCCCTACTTACGGGACATCCTGTATATACATAGTGAGAAGTGTGTTCATGATAATTAAAATGAAATACATCTCAAAGAATATTAATAAGACATATAATAATATGAGAATTTTCGTGTTTTAATGTATTTAAATTTATGATGATGGTAGTATTTGGTGGATTGAATAATAATTTACATACAATATTATTAATTAAATTTGAACCATAAACGGGATAAGGGGGATATGACGAGATTGTGTTGATGTTGGGATCAATAAAGGTGGGGGGTGGGTTTGCCGCTGCGTAGAGGTCTGTTGCCGGGATACAACCCATGTTGCCGGATAGTCTGTAAGCTTCTGGTGTTTTCATCCGTCATTTGTGCAACCGGAAAAGTCAGAATTGTTAGCTGAAAGATAGGTAAAACCTGTTTCTTTCATCTAGTTGCATTTATTATTCTAATATTATAATTTTTTCAACGACATCATACTCACAGTCTCCTTTTGATTAGACTAGTAAAAAAAAAAAAAAGAAAGTGTTATATTCTATTATGTACAAATTTTTTATTATGACAGTTCTGATATTTCTGGAACTCAGGATTATCAGAATTACCTTCAACTGCTCTCTTTTTCAACTAATTATTTTTTTTTTAGAAGTAAATTGACCAACCAACTAGAAAAAAAAAAAAAAAATTAAAACTGGCTTTTTGGGATAGTGCTATTTTTGTTTTCTTTTTCTTTGCTATCGACGTTGATTATTATACATTTCAAATTTCTCAACGAACTGATTACTAATCCAAATCAATTATTATAATGCACGTTAGAGGTCAACTGCATTAAAGGTTTCATCGCACATCTGACATTTGAAATTTTCTCTTATCGTTTTATTATTATTAGTATGCAATAATAATTACCAATAGCAGTTTACTATTTATTTCATATATTTCGAAAAAGACTTATTTATGGTGCTTTTCCCACATCATTTACACTAGCAATTCTACATGGAAGCATTATATGCCTGAGGTGCAGGATGTAGGTCAAAGGAATTTTTAAGTATTAAGTTGATAAAATGAACAATAAAGAACAACGTATAATCATATCGCTTTATTTATATTCCTTGTTTATCCCAGAGAAAGCTATAAGGCATCTTTCTTTAACTTTTCCTCAAATACATACGATTTCATATAAAAAGTATGAATAGATTTAAAATTATTTAATTATATATAAAATGAAATGGTATAAAAAATTAGTAAAAATTGTTTCCTTGATATTGTACCCTAATAGTAGATACTTCAAATTTTATCAAGTCTTGGTAATTTATAATTTATACCATTATTCTTGAGGATTAGTCATTAACTTTAGATCATTGATTTAACTGTAAAAATATTTGTTTTCTTTATTTTAATTGTTAATAGGTTTTAAATACAATATATTAATTTCTGAGCTGAGTTTTATATATATATATATTCCACTATTGCTGTCTGGTGTATTCATAATTTCTACAGCTTATACCGCGTAGATGGAATTATAGTTGAATAAAATATATATATTTTATGTAATGAATACATATAGTTGAATTGAAGAATACCATCTAATAACTATGCAAATACGGTTGATCAATTCATCAATTGGATGAATTTGGATCAAAATGAAAACAATATTATGATATTAATGACTTTTATTTTTAAAAGTAGAGATGAAAAATTTACATTCGATATAATTATCATGATATTTTAATTATGGTAATAATATTTCCGGAAAATAAAATTGAAATTGTCGCGGTTTAATTGACTTTGAAAAACATTTCAGTTGACTTACAAATGATATACAGGGTGTTCTGTAAGTAGAGAAACATATTTTAAGGGTAAATAGTAGACATAAAGATCTACAAAAAAGTTATTGGAGTATATTAATATTAAATATACTTCATATTCGAACTATCTCTTCGAACAGCCTTGATAAAGGCCTGAACTTCAGGTCGAAACGTCGGCAAATGCTAAAATAAAAAAAATAAAAAAATATATATATATTAATATTAATGATGTGATTTTATTAATAAATTATTTTATAAATAATTTCTATCCAGTCACCTAAAATCACCAGTGCTTTCAGCAAAATGACTACAATTAACAGTTTCAAATATTAGGTTTGTCACTTATAAATACGCATTAATTCGTATGACAGGTATCCGGCAAAGAAATACAAGTTCATAACTACCTTACATGAAAAATATATGAAAAATCGTTATTTTTACAAATAAAATGTTTTTCTATGCTATTATGTTCATTAAAATACATTTCACATCACGGAAAAAACAAGAAATAAAAGCTTTTCACAGTTACTTGTTCTGTTTAACAGTTAATTGTAGTAATTTTTGCTGAAAAAAAACCGGGTACTTTAAGACGGCAGGATATAAAATTGTATAATTTTTTTCCACGACTTGAGGCGAATCTCAAACTTTTCCATAATAATCCTCAACTTAATTAATATGGACTTAAAGCTCATTTAACTTGGAAGTTTTCCTAAAAGTTGGGTAACTGAAGTACAGTTGAAGGTTGAAACAAAAAAATCACAAATAATTTATAACTTTTTTTTATCGGAATTAAGTCGAGTTTGTCCGCTGAATAGTCCTCCTTAAATGGTTTTAATAATGACAAACTCTACTTTCGTCTGAAGTAAATTTTATCTAGTTTATAGTGAAGCAATTATTAATTACTTAAATCAAATTTTCAGTTATCGCTTCCTATTCAACAAAAAAGGTGACTAGCATAAAAAAACACAAATCTTAAATTTCCTACTTTTCTGATAGAAATGTGGCAATTATTTATATGAACTTTTTAGTAGATCTAGATGTCTACTATCAACCTTTTAAATATTCCCCTCTACTACGGGACACCCTGTATTTACCGTAGAAGAGTTAAAAATTAATAAGCAATCACTTATAAGAAATAATATTATTTACCCATGGACTGTAGTGAAAAAATATTCTCTTAGTAAAGAAACCACCGTTAAGAATTTTATCATACTCGAAATCATTTTATTATGAGAATACTTATATTTTTTAAATCAAATCATCTTGTTGAGTTAAAATAATCGCATCGAAATATAATATGAAGTTGTGCTAAAAATATAAAGTACGCTTACGTTGCCCTAAGTGAATGGATAAAAAAATATTAAAAGTTCATATGATTAAATAATATGAGAAGGAGTTAGTGGGGGGTGCGGTCAAATAAATACTAAATTAAAATATATTAATTATTTTAATTTTTGCTTACGTTTCGATCCACTTTGCAGGTCGTCTTCAGGGCTACAAAACATGTTGAAAATAAAAAATAATTATTATTCTATAATATATAAAATAATATAAAATTTATATAATATATAAAATAATTATTTTCAACATGTTTTGTATCTTTTGTAGCTCTGAAGACGACCTGCAAAGTGGGTCGAAACGCAATTAATATATTTTAATTTAGTATTTATTTGACCACACCCCCGACTAACTCCTTCTCATATTATATCAACGGTCAACCATCTCTACATCATGATTAAATAATACATTAAAACTAATATATTTCGCTACCATACGATATATGATATTATCCTTTCATTGATTTACAGTATTCAGAAAAGAACAAATTTGGATAGGCATTAAGTTTATTTAAAGTTTATTACAACTTTATGAATAAGTGTACTGTCAAACACACTATGTCTTAACCGTGTTTGTGAGTTCAAAGACACAACAACAAAATAGCATTCAGAAGTAAAACGAAAATTCTCATAACTAAACCAATTCACGAATTTCAAATTTTATTTATATTCTAATTGGTAAATGGTTGACTGTCGTGGATAATGAAGAGAAGAATAGTTGGGGTGGTCAGTCAAAAAAGAAGGCAAAAATAAATGATAATATTTATTTTTACATATGCCGACGTTTCGACCTGAAGTTCAGGCCTTCATCAGGGCTAAGAAAATAACCAGATAACAAGGTATGAGAAACATAAGTAGTGATGGTAAAAAAAAAAAAAATAATAAAATAAATATAAAGTAAAATGAAATTCTTAGAATAATGACTAAGAAATAAGAGATAAATAATAATAACCGTTACAAAGTGTGGAATGATGAAGTAGGCATAATCAAAAAGGGTGACATAAGTTTTACAATGGGAATCTTAGAATAAAATGTAAAACATAAAAAAGAAATATGAAGTTATATAAGAAATGAAATTAAATAGTAAAATTAAGACATTGAGAATGGAGTGGTTAGATAGAAAATTGAGATATTGTAAAGTCTATCAAGATGTACAGACAATGTATAATATAATAAAGAGTTAAAAACAGAGAGCCTGATGAAGGCCTGAACTTCAGGTCGAAACGTCGGCATATGTAAAAAGAAATATTATCATTTATTTTTGCCTTCTTTTTTGACTGACCACCCCAACTATTCTTCTCTTCATTATTTATATTCTATTTATTTATATATAAGTTTTATTTATTTTCCTACGGATTAACCGGTATGCTATGTGTCTAGCAACCCTAATATAATTAGGCAGCAAGCTTTTATATTTTATATTAAAATAAAGTGTTTCTCTCTACATTTTCGATGCCTTCGATCATACTCAGTGACTACAATAAATATTGGAATACTTTTTAATGGATATAATTTTAATTAAAAAAAAAAAAATAATAATAGGAGCAGTCTAGCATAACTAAAGACGTGGTAGAAATTTAAGACATGAAAAAATAAACACAAGAATGTTAATTTCAAAGTTCTCAAAAACATTGCTTTATTTTTAATTCCACTAATCTATTTCATTTCACGTCTAATGGAGTAAATAATCAATTATCATTATAATTATAATAATAATTATAATAGTGGAAACCATATTCAAGGATCAAAAACAATATTAAAAGCGAAGAATGCCAGTTAATCTTCTACTATTCATTATCCCTCTCACAGAACCGTTTTTTAAAGCAAATTCTTTATTATTCTACTTCTTTCTGGATTACTTTCCCCATTTCTATTCTTACATCTTTTTCTACGTTTCTCTTAAATCACTGCATTCTTCTTTAACTGCTCTGATGGCAAACTACGGTACAGATGTCCATTCATTTATTTATTTTGTTACTACACTATATTATTTAACCTATTACTATGCTTCTCACTCTCCAATATTTTATACACATAAAGCAAACAACTTACCTATTCCCTTGAATTTATTTCATTAAATTCTTTATCTGTTTTTGACAAAAGGAGTTGAAGGAAAAAACCAATTGACAATGACTGTACTGTACAGGGGTTAAATATTTCTAATCATTGGGTGAAGTGACGGTTTAAAGAACTTAGAAAATCTTCTTGAGCATATTATAATTTTTAGATTAACTATAACGGATAAAAGGGAGAATGGTATTACCTATGATGTCCAATTTTGCCACTTTGTTGCACAAAAACATAATGTTCCAGGAGTGCCCATCCTTCCTCCTATATTCTTTCTCTTCTTATAAAGTGTTCATGAGAAAGTAGAATTATAAATTGTGTAGCTTATAGGCAATTACCCTTGCTATGGTCTGTTCCATGCTTTTCCCTTGTATGAAATTGATTGATTGTACGCATTGCATTGAATGGTTCAAACTCATAAAAATATGGTTCTTTCTGGATTCATAGCCGCCAACTGCCCTCCCCCCTCAAAAACTTAAAACCCTCAAAAAACGTGCCTCTAAAATATTTTGAAATTTGCCATGGTATCCCTTTTGGCATGGCGCATGAACCACCATCCTCTCTCCAAAAATGGTATTACTCTCCCCTTCTTAAAAACAGTGCAAGCGAAAATGGGATTAGGCGAATGGTAGATCATATACAATTACACTTACTGTGGTCTGTCCCATGTTTTTCTCCTAGTCCTCTGTTTTGAAACTTTTCACTCCGAAAAGTACACATAGTCCCGTCGAAATGTGTCCCCGTCACAAATTTAAAACCCAGTCAAAATGTGCCCCCCTCAAAAGTTTTGATGGCGCAACTTCCGCCATGAAATCCTCTTCTGGGCACCCTTGCGTTTTGGGGCATCTCGGTACTAAAAACATGTAAAATATAAAACTGTACTTAAAAAATCTGATAAAAACGTGTAATGGAAATGTTATTACTGTTTATCGATAATTTACAAATGTATGTTATCACAAAATATCAACTAATGTTCGGATTCCATGATGATGCTTTAATTGGGGAAAATTGAGCTCAATTAAGAATAAGTAGAATTTTATGACAAAGACAGAGTGCGGTCTATTCCTTAATAAAGTATAATTAAATGGACCTTTTATTTAGTTTTTTTAGGTATTAAGGTGTAAATTGTATGATTAGTAATAGGAGAAATTTTGTTATTTCAATTATATTTCAACATCTACTAGCACTATAGAGCAATACATTTTTCTTTCAGGAAAATGGTTTCGAAGCCGAATAGAAGTAACAAGAAGCAGAGGGATCTATCAGAAAAAGTAAAGGCAATCGATGCGGAACTGATGTCCTTTTACGAGTTTTGTGAAAAAATGGGCTTCACTCAGGAAGAAATGGACACAATCTGTTCTCCCCTCAAGGAGGTCATGTCCAAGCACAGCATGGCTCGCCTCGCCAAAGGCCTCTTGGCCATTCTCTTGATATTTGGAGTGATTTATTGCGCCACCCATGTTGGGCCTCTGGCTACTCATACAACAGCAGTTGGAAGGATTGCCATGATAAAGGTGGAGTGCTTTTTATATTAATTACCTCGTTACGATTTCGAGACTGAAGGATATTAAAAATATCTGAGATATAGAAATTAATAGTGGTTACGCAGATTATTAAAATATTATTATTCAGCATCGGTCCCGGAAAACTATTCCTCCCGTATCTAATATATACATTCCAAAATCCTTAATACTCCCAAAACCAATGAAGACATTTTGATTAAACCACATTTAATTATTGTAATTTTGCCATAGTTGTTAATTTCAATAAATATAATAATAATTATTATTCAAACAAAATAAAAGAGAGAACTACAATAAATCGTAATGCGTGGTGAGTCAGTGGTAATCCAGCAAACTTACCCATCTAATAGACAATATCTAATAAAAGAATTCAGTAAAGTTAAAGTTTTACGGGATTGGCATCACAAATACCAAGTGCTTTGAATAGAAAAATGTAATTTGTTGTTTTTTTTTTCTTTCTTCATCCCCATTCTTCTCAATTTTGCCCCCTGCATCCATAAAACAATGGCCAGAATTAATAGAGGCGATGGTGCTGGATTTTCAGCGAATGTAAAAGAATAAACTGCACTATACTCTCATTCCTTTCAACACCCAGCTTTTTAAATACAATTCATTTTTAATGAATATAAAAATGTATTATTATTAGATTTTCAATTAAAATTTCCTAGTCAGGACTGCACCGGTTAACCTCTCCCATTTAATCAGATTTCAAACATGAAAAATTAGAGAATTTTCATTTGCCCCCGATAACTGAATCTACTTATCTTATCGAAAACAAATTTTGATCCATATTTCTTAACATAACTGTAAAGAAAGTGAAGATTATTCCAACGTCGAACAAAGGTATTCATAACTATATTACTAAAGAAATTTTACTATCTTTATTTGTAATCATTTATAATCATATTGATTATAATGTTTTAATGTTTTTCAGGTGCTTTCGTTCTGGGATTGGCAACATCTCTTCCACGAGCAATGCTTGATCGAAAATCCTTTGTACGGAGAATACGGCTTGACGCACGAAGACTGCATGGTATGTGCGTTTTATCAATCCTAAAAAATATATATCCCAATTTTTTTATTTTAATGAAATTTACAACTGTACTACATTAAAAATACAACAAGTAAATGTGACATTGGTAACATGACATGTACAACCTGAAGAGAAACTACCCATTGGTAGAACTCAAATTAAATATTCCAATTAAAATAGGTTTTAATTAAATCTTAGCTTTGTTCATCAACGTCCTCTAACTATATGTTTAATAAGTTCATGTTAAACAGTAATTCATTATTATTTCTAACACTGTCATTAATTTAATAACTTATTTATTTATTCAGTAATGACATTGCTTTTCCTTTAAAATTAATCGATTTTTGTTTGGATATAATTTATGGATATAATGTTTAAATTTAATTACATTTATTTATTTCGTTTTTTTATCCTTCCACGCCTTTGGCAATACGGATTTTAAGAGAAGTAGGTATGCCAATTCTATAGTTATTCTATTAGTTATCAGGAGAGAGGGGTTTTTATAGTGTTTTTATTGCCTAAATCAGTATGAAGAAACGTTTGATTAACAATGTAGGGCAAAATGATTTTTTTTAGAAAATATCATGTTTTTCCGAGCGTGTAGCTTGGAAACGGTTTAAAATTGGGATAAAACCTATAAAATAATAGTTTTAGATATTTTAATAAACTTTAATTTACTGTTCAACAAATTTCCCTTGTGATTCACCGTTTTCGAGAAATAAGCGAAAATCCAAAAATTGTGACCTTTACTCTCCCTCATCCCACCCCCGGGGTTCACCATCTAGACGTTAGGACTTTTGATATGTTCATATCCTAAGCACCTTGAACAAGTTTCTTAATTAATCGCTTAGGTCTCTGATTAAGCACTTTACACCCCTTATTTGGGCATTCATTGACTGGACTAAATGAGCTGTGGAAAGCTGAAGAAGAATTTATTCATTTTTTTGTTTCTGTTGGGATTCCAGACCATGTAGATCTTTTGCCGCCTTAACAAGCCTGCTTCATCTCTGCCAGTCTTGGGCTATTTCTTTCCGTTTGTCTGCACTGAGCTCTATTGCATCATTGTTGATTCTATCTATCCATCTGCTTTTTGGTCTTCCCCGTGGTTTTTCAGGTATTCATTGTTGGGTGGGGATATTGATCTACAATATGGAATATTGACCGACAAGTTTCTGTAAGCAGTTCTTTATTGGTCTTTCTTCTCCATGTGTTTTTACTGTGATTCCAGATCGCTCCGGTTATCGTGCAGAGGATTTTTCTCTCAAATCGTTCAACACTTTTTTCTAGGGTGCTTAGTGTCCAGGTCTCACAGCCCTTTATTAGAACTGACTTTATCATAGCATTTAACACCCTTAATTTGAGATTTTTCGGGATTTCAATACCTTTGAAGATGAGGAAGAAGCTCTGTTTTTATTAGTTATACGTTGGTCTATATCTGCTCGTTGGTCATTCATTGAGGTTATTGTGGACCAGAGGTATTTTTATTTTTCTACTCGCGGGAATGACGATGAATTCTTCTAAGCAGATCCTATTATTGGGGTGGAATTTCTGGCTTATTATCCTATATTTTGTTTTGTCTTCATTTACTTGTAGGCCGATCTGCTCTGCCTCTCTTATCAGTATTGTGAGTTTCTCAATATCTTCTTGATCGCTGAGCTACTTCCCATCGTTTTTCGGGTACTTGCTTTAGGATGAATCTGATCTAGCGTGCTCCTTCTTTTTCTGAATTCAGCTTGGTGGTCGCCTATTATATTTTCGTAATACGAATATATCCGGTTTTGTAGGATATTTGTCATTATCTTGTAGGCAACCGTAAGGAGTGCTATGCTTCTGTAATTACTACAGTCATATATGCATGGAGCCTTTCTTTAGGATAGTATAGATTAGGCCCGTATTCCAAGCCTTAGGTATCCTTTCCTCTTTCCATATTTTCTGGATTAGTTGTAGTGGCTTGGCTCTTAAGTTGTTTCTGTTATGATTAATTAATTGATGTTATTTGTTATTGTATATTCTACCTACAACAGTGTTACTGGCAACACTGTCATATGTGACGTCAGTGATCACAATAATTTATACTCCCTCGATATGGCTTCTATGTTGTAGTGTTCTTCCCCAATAAACGTTTCTGTATTGTCAGTGTTTGTTTCATAAAGAAGCTCTAACCATTATTAACAGTTTCTTCTATCTTTAAACAGTTCTCATCGTAGGTTGTATATCCCATGGGCCTTTATAGATTAATATAAAGGTACATAATTAACATAACGATGAGAAGAAATATATTTTGAAATAAATAACAAATGCACTTTTTTTGTGCTTGACCTACATGTGTTTACATATAAACAAAAATAAAATATACTTTTTGAAGCGAGGGGTGGGGGATGTGCTAGTTGATGTTTATTTTCAAGGCCTATCTCCATTAGGGAGTTGGGTGATGGATGAGAAGGGCACGTGGATTCTAACTTATGATCAATACTTACAATAGGAGCGCTTAAAATCAAAGAAAACTACCCCAGTCGACTATCTTTTTTGTACCGAAAACTTTGTTTTTATATATTGAAGGTTTTTAGAAATTTGGTGGAATTAAATAAAACCTGACTTTTGGGTTTAGATGATAATTTACCCTGAATTGCCTAGTTTTCCACCGACCAATCGAAGCAGGGGTGCCCAGAAGGTGGTTTGCGCCATCAAAGTTTTTGAGGGGGGCATATTTTGATGGATTTTTGAATTTTTGAGGGGAGTACATTTCGATGGAGTTGTGAATTTTCAGAATGAAAAGTTTCAGACAAAGGGAAATGGTGGAAATATGAACAGACCGCAGCAAGTGTAATTGTATATGATCTACGATTTTTATAATTCTACCTTCGCTTGCTAAGTTTTTAAGGAAAGGTGAGGAATAAAATATGTTGGGAGGGTAGGATAGGTTTTTGTGCCATCGACCTTGGGGGGGGGGGATGGGCACCCCTGAATCGAAGGTTATTTACTGAGGCTGGGTACACCTTTGGTAAATTTGACGAATGTGGGGAATGAGACGGTATCTGCAGAAATATGAAGTATTGAAAAGGATTATTTTAAATTTTAGGAGAATCAAACAAAAAGTTATGACTAAGCATTGAACGTAAGTTGTCTATATATAATATGAATGGAGATTTACTATTAATATTTTCGATTATTTCAGAAAAATACACCTGGCTTTACTGATACCATTATGATTTACAGACTTGCGAAGCACTAGATACGATCCATGTAATAAGCCGCACAAGCTACAAGGTCCTTTCTGACAACTATTTCAACCGTGAAGCTCCGGTCATCATTTCGGATGCTACAGACTCTTGGGAAGTGATGAACAATGATCTTCATTTCGACAACATTACTCAGGTATGAATTTCAATATGTCATGGGTAACATCTTTCATTCGATATAGATTGCACAGGAGCACCCTATAGAAGGTCAGCTAATTATAGATTAGCGAGTTTCGGATGACGTTTGAGCATTTAGGGGAAGAGGGGATGGATGGGGGGAGTGGCGATCAGCCCTTTCTAAATACGCCCATTCATCAGCACTTAAAATGTTTTAACCCTTTTCCATTATTAACATAACATAAAATACACCTACATGATCCTTAATTTCAAAAATAATTAATAAACTAAATCAAACAATAAAATGAAGTGTAATTTATTTTCTAAATATTTTATCTCATACTCAGAGGTTGGATTTTTATGCAATGGGATGATTAGTTAGTCAGTTTTTATTGAAGTAGCTACCCGTATAGCAGCTCTTCAGGTTTAGTGCACTTTGCTGTCAAGGCGTGTTTGATATTCTGATCAACATCTCATAAAATAACTTAGGTTTTAAAAAATACAGTGCTATCGGTCTGTAGCTTTCAGAGGTCTAGATAGGGTAGATTTACAGCGAACTTCATATTTATATTTAGATTAAATAATCTTACAATATAACACAGCATATAAGGGGAATTATTCGGATCAAAATCGTAAATTCTGATTTTAAAAATGTTATGCAAGTCAGTGAAAAATAAAAATAAATGGGGTGGTTAGGGGTGGTATAATAAATATAATAAAAATAAAATAAAAACGTAGATATAGAAATTGAGTCATTTGATATTATTCCTGAAGTGTAATTTTAAGTTATTATTAAATTTAAAATATATTCTTTAATATCTTAACAGTTAGGATAGCGGCTGATTTTTATGGTTGCATTTTAAAAGTAAGCCTTCCGTCCTATTTGGGTATCCCCTATTAATATTTTCCATATTATCAATATTTAGTAAACAAAAACATTTTTATGGGTATATTACATCTCAAGTTCTTTATGGATGCGAAACTTGGCCGCTTACATTAAGGGATGAGCAGCGTCTTAAGGTTTTTGAAAATAAAGTATTGCATAGAATATTCGGACCGAAGAAGGATGAGTTAACCGGAGAGTTCAGACGGTTACACAACGCCGAATTGCGTGAACTGTATCCGGGTAATATAATTGAGGTAATTTCGTCGCGGCGAATCAAATGGGCTTGTAAAGTTGTTGGGCTTAGTAACGAGAGAATTCCTAAAAGATTAATATTTGCTGTGCCGAATGGTAAGCGTCCGAGGGATAGACCGAAGCGAAGGTGGGAAGATTGCATTAAAGCCAATCTGAAGGGACTGGGTTTGGACGGCGAACGGTGGAGGGAGGTGTATAATAAGCGATTGGTGGTGTCGGCATGGAACCTTCGGGTTCGCTAAGCCTTTTATTATTATTATTATTATATTACATCTCAATCTTGATAAATCTTTAGATCAAATTATAGTTTAGATCTAAAGTTTTTTAATTAATTTCTTAATTCTAGACTTATTAATTAAATACATAGTATATATTGTTATGTTTATATATTTTTCATATATTGTTGTGTGGGTGTATATTTCTGTTTTACTTTCCCTTATCTATTTTTCTATTTCTCATAAATTCTAGCTTTATCTTGATGATGAGAAGTTGACTGAATCGGTCCCTTGTGTGCTAACTACGAACCTGAGGCAAGGAGGTCCGGATCTGATGTCCTTTCTCAAGATGATATCCAATTCTTCTATTAAAAAATGGTTTGTTCATTGGTAAGTGATATTGGGTTCTTTTTTATAATAAATCAACCGAGACTAATGTTTAGAATAACTGCTAAAGACAACAATTGCTTAAAAAACCAAACTCTTATATCTTGACAACACAAAGTCGATATGTTGCAGCTTCTTAGTTTTAATTAAATATATTTATTTATTCCGTCTCAACATCTAAGGGTTATTGGCTTATGAAGTTAAAATTGTTAGATTCTAATATAAAATGTTAATTTTCTTAGGTAATCCAAAAGTTGTTTTAATTTCATGTTCATTATTCTGAATTACATTATTCTACTGTTGTACACCCATTTTTAGAGTTTTTAAAAATTTACAGTGGGTGGAGCTTTTATTCCTCAGGGAATCTCATCGTGGCCAAAACCACAACCATAGTGTGGCTGTGTGAGGTGATACCATGGACCTTGAAACATTCTTAGATTGATCATTAAATATATTGTAATTTCATAATAATAGAATATTTCTATTTAATTATTCAATGTATGTTTCACAAATTATTTATGTTAATTTTATAATATTGTGTTCTTCTACAAATATGTAATATTTTTATCTTGATCTCAATGCTGTGGAAAAATTAACCTTGGTACTGTAACCTTTATCGCCACTTCTTTGTTGGAATTGTTTAGGATTTGTCCACGATTAGGCGTGGGTCTATACAAGAATTTTTGTATCTAGATACAGCTGATACTGCTACTTTTTTGTATCAGATACAAATGAATCAGTAGTTTGTCATTACCTTCCTATTAGTTTTTGTTTGATGCAGTATTTATGCAAATCTGTGTGACCACTTCTATAACCTTACAATAACCCAAATAAATGTTTCTAGAAATGTTAGGTGGGGGACGGATAAAAGCACCCATGCCGCTTGTACTTTGATACACTGAGGGTTAAATACTTTTAGCTAATACTTGGAATTGATACACCGAGGGTTAGATATTTTTTCTAATACTTGGCCTGGATGCACTGAGGGTTAGATACTTTTATCTGGTTCTTGGACTTGATACACTGAGGGTTAGATACTTTTATCTAATACGTGGACTTGATACACTGAGGATTAAATACTTTTATCTGATACTTGGACATGAAACATAGAGCGTTAGATACTTTTATCTGATGCTTGGACTTGATATACTGACAGCTAGATTATTTTATCTGATATTTGGACTAGATACACTAACTACTCACTAAAATATTCAGTATTTAATTTTAATATCGAACATTTTTAATTTTAATTAATGCTCCATAATTTGTTTAGAAGTAAAATAATATTTTTGTATGTACATATTAGTTCAGAAATGAAGATTTTCTACAAATATTATTATGAATGAACATTATGAGTTGGAAATAAAGAGAAGTATAACAAAACTATATTAAAACTAATTTTATTCTTATTAAGAAATATAAGTATAAAATAGTAATTTTTAAAAATTTATTTATTGAAAAATATTACAATCTGTCTCAAGGACATTTATAATAGTGTTCAGAGATCACATTTACACTCTATGTACAATAATAATAATAACAATAATAATAACCTTTATTTGTGCATACAATGAAAAAACAATGGATAAAAATATACAAAATCTCTTATATGTACAAAATCAACTTAGTTGAGGTTTTGAGTTCGATTTTTTTTTTTTTTTTTTTTTGTACTTAACTTTCTTGTAACCACACTAGGTAATGAACCTGTCCCATCCTTTTCCATTCTTTCCTCTCTAATGCTACTCTCTTCCAGGCTGCTCCCCCGCAGGTCTTCTTCATCTCCTTGTCCCAGTCTGTCGGCGGGCGTCCTCTCTTCCTCACGTGCTCTCTTGGATACCAATCCATAAACTGCCTGGTCCATGTTAATTCATTCCTCCTGATTACATGTCCGGTCCAGGTCCACTTCCTGATGAGCACTTTTTCCACAATATCTGGAAGGTCAGTCTTAGCTCTGATCCATCTGTTTGTTTTTCTATCCCTTCGAGTTATCCCCAGAAGATATCGCTCCATTCCTCTGACGGTTATCCTCAATTTGTGGCAAGTCTTCTGGTCAATTGCCCATGTTTCACAACCATATGTCATGACAGGAAGTACTGTGCTCACCCAAAGTTTTCTCTTGACCTCTGAGCTCACCGAGGATCTATATATATCCTTAAATTTGAAGAGTGCGCGCCATCCCTGGGTACATCGCCTGATTATTTCTTCATTTTGTCCTTTAATTGAGATAAGGTGCCCAAGATATAGAAATGTATCTACTTTCTCTATATGATGTTCGCCTATTTTTATATCTCCCTCAACGTTCACTGACATATAATTGCATTTTTTATAATTTATTTTCAGTCCTATGTTTTCTCCAGCCTTTATTAATTGGTTTGCCATCGTTAGGATTTCTTCTATATTTTTACCTATTAGGACTTGATCATCAGCAAACTCTAAATGGTTCAGCCACTCTCCAAAAATTTTCATTCCTTTGTTCTGCCAATTCATAGTTTGCATCAAATCATGGAGAACTGATATAAATATTTTAGGAGAAAGGGTATCACCTTGTCGTACACCTTTTCTAATTTTTATTTTTACTGTTGTTTTTCCTGATTTATATTCTGCATTGGATCTCGAATACATATCTTCCAGTATCTTGCATATTCTTGAACTAACGTTTCTCTTTTTCAACATATTTATGATAGAATCGGTTTTTAGGGAGTCAAATGCTTTTTCGTAATCCAGATAAAGGAGGCTCACTGACAGATTATAGTCATTCGCTTTCTTAATTAACTCTTTAATCACAAATATATGGTCTACAGTAGACTAATTCTTCCTAAACCCGGCTTGATGTTTTTCTAATTCTATATCCAATTTGTCTTCTATTCTTCTAAGTAGGATTTTAGAAAATATTTTATATAAAACTGAGAGTAGGCTTAATTGGCGGTAATTATTTAAATCTCTCTTATCTCCTTTCTTTGGCAGAATTATGAGTTTTGCAGTTTCCCATTCTTCCGGAAAGCTTGCATTCTTAAGGCATGTATTATATAAGTGAGTGAGTGCCTGCGCTATTATCATTCCCCCAGCTTTTATGTGTGCGATTGTCAGACCATCAACACCTCCTGATTTTTCTTCCTTACAAATATCTATTACACTTAATACTTCTTCAATCATAATTTCTTCTTTTGGATCCCAGTTTTCTATGTTCCACTCCGCAGTTTTATCTTTTCTTTCATCATAATATAGTTTTTCATAATATTCTTTTATTATATTTATCTCCAAGTTATCATTTAATTCTTGCCCATTTTCATTTAAAATAACAGTCATTTTTGTTTTAGAGATCCCTACCTCTTTTAGTTTACCTCCTGTCCTAATGGCTTCCTCCATCTTTTCTACTTTCCTTTCTCTCAGCCAGTTCTCAATTTCCTTTCTGATTAATTTGTTAAGTTGTCTTATATCTTGCTCCATTTTTTTAAAATTTCTTCTTTTGTTTAGAAGGTTTTTAATCTTTCTTGGGAGATTTCGACAGTTACCGTCTACCTTGGAATTCTCTTCCTTAAACTGTTCAAGTACCTTTTTTAATGAGTTTGTTATTTCTGTAATTTGGGTTGAAGTTGTCATCTCTTGGTCTAACTTAGGCAAAACTGATTTTAACTTATCTTCAAAATTCCATTTTATTAGGTTTTCTGATTTAACTTTACTGGATCTCCTATTTTCTTTTTTATGTTTTACAATGGTGAACTTTTTATTCAACATTGCCCCAACTGGTCTGTGATCACTGCCAATGTCAGGATGGTTTAAAACTTCCACATTGATCACTAATTGCTTATTTTTAACGATTATGAAGTCTATTTCATTTTTTGTCTTTCTATCTGGGCTCTGCCATGTCCATTTGTTATTAGGATTTTTTTTCAAAAAAGTTATTCATGATGTAAAGACCATTAGCTTACTCTATGTACAATAAATAAATTACAGTGTGGTCTAGACCTCAGTTCAGAGCGTATGATAAAAGTTCAGTCAGTTTATAGTTAGCTATATTCGCAGTTTTTAGAAGGAGTTCTGTCATAATTTTTGGTTAGAACCAACTATTAATCGTGTTATATCCACAGACAGGAAAGATTCTTCAATACACCGCCGTTTCACGTCAGAAGAAGAAAGGAAAAGTCACAGTTTTAGTCGGCTTAAGGTATTTATTGCAGGCATTCTAGATAAGAATATAGGTGGGGAGCGCATGCGCATAGATAGGACTAGGTACTAGATATCTCAATGTTTGCAGTGACGAGGTTGGGGTAACGTCAATTTTTTTACCACGTTACTTACGTAATTTTTTTTTCTCTTTCTTCTTTTTTCTCGCTTATCAAGATGGTTCTATGCCCAATTTGTAAACAGACCATAGCAAGAGAAGAAAAAAAAACAATGGCAGGCACTATCACGACATGTCAAGCTATTTTCCATGGAAAATGTCTAAACGCAGACGAGAGTGAGTTCGAAGCACTGAGGGCATTACCAAAAAATTGGGTATGCCCGAAATGTGAAAAGGCTCGGAAAAATATCCAACCGACAGACAAGTGCCTTAGCCCGCCAAGATCGGCGCCACAACAACAAACTGTCGACAGCACGTCACAGCTGTTACTTGCTGCCATTAAAAGTCTAACAGAAGAGGTCAAGGGATTAAAATTCTCCCTCGATGCCAATGCTAACGAGGTGAAAGAATTAAAAATATCTCTCGAAAAGCAAGCCTCTATAACTTTTGAGAATGCGGCGAAATTAGACACTATAGAGTCACTACTGGAGGCTCAAAATTACAAGATTGACGGACTGGTCCTGGAAAACACGACTCTCAAGTCTCGGGTCTCGGAGCTCGAAATCAGGCTCAATAAAAGTGAGCAATTGCACCTTTCCAGGTCAATAGAAATAAGAGGAGTCCCAGTGAGATCTGGAGAGACCCCGATGGGCCTGGTGATGAGCGTGGGGGCGGGCCTGGGCCTTAGTCTAAAGGTGGAGGACATAGACTATGCAGAACG